GGACAGCGGGGATCTTTAGTGCATATATATATATTTTTTGAACATGGAAAAAGGGTATGTGGTGTCATCATAGTCTCGTTGGGTCCTGACTTCGGGATAATTGATTGTCAGTCAGGAATTAATCCCCATCAAGTGAGAGACCCACCATCAGGATATCAGTGGAGCACGAACACATGCCACAGCAGTGGACAGGTGTCGAGAGGATTTATAGAGCGTGTTCACCGAAGTGATTTCAAACACTCCCTCCCTAGGAATCGACCTGGCACGCGACTGTGGAATGCCTCGCGTTCTCCACCAAGCCACTAACCCTGGTGGTGGGATCTTTAGTGCATTGGTAGGGTATTTTTCTCAATCTTTTTCAGTAATTTAAACTATTCATATGGTAAAATTTGTTAAATATATTATTTATATAAAAAATTAAGTTAATTAAAAATATGTAATCCCATGATTAGATACAAATTGTTTTATAAAAATTATGAAGATAATGTTAATTATTTATTTTTAAAAAAACAAATGTGTTCTTGATATAAAATTATAGATTTTCAATTAATTTAATTTTTTGTATGAATAATTTATTTAACAAATTTTATAATATGAAACAAACACTACTCAGCAACTTAAATCTATAATCCAACAGCTATACCAAACAGATTAATAGCTTCTAATTAAAGTCATAATCTATAATCTGTTAAGTTATGATTTATAATCTGTTTTAACAGTTATACCAAAAAGCACCAAAGAAGGGTGGGACAGGGGACAGCGAGCCTAGAGAGAATGGGGATTGAGGTGGATGAATGCCAGTTTTGCAGGGAGGGAAGAGAAATGAGAAAGGAGATGGAAAATGGTAGATTTATAATTTTACAAAAGACTTTCACTTAGTGCCATTTTGGGAACATGGTAAAAAGTCACGTTTTTGGACAAGTGGCTGCCAAAAATGCCAAAAAAGTCATTTGGCAAGTGCTAAAAACGCAGCCTTAAAATTACAAATTAAGGCCTATAAAAAATAAATAAAAAAATAACTCTCTTATGTTGAGTAAGGGTATTTTGGTCATTTTAATTTGATTTGACACCATAAATAAATATTAAACTAAAAAGCAAAAAGCCAGCTTTTTACCAACTTCCCAAATCACTTCCAAAAAAGCCAAAAATCTTGGTAAAAAGCCAAAAGCCAGCTTTTTACCAACTTCCCAAAATAACCCGAGTTGTATATGATGGGCCAATTGTCAACACATTAAGGCCTGGGTTGGAGTGTTTCAAAAAAATTTAAAAAGTCAAAAGTTTATTAAAAAAAAAAATTATCACTATTTATAAATTAAAAATATAAAAAAATTAATATTCATAATATTTTAATCAACTAACTTTACACAATTTTCGGGACTGACTTGACCCCTTCAGTACCGTGACAGGGAAAAAAAATTATATATATGAAATCACTAAGTTGGACGGTAATGTTGGGTTCATGGGAGCCCACAAGTCTCGTTTTGATAATCCGAACCGTCAATGTGTAGAACTCATCCAGAACTATACACTTATAAAAAATCACGTTAATTGGATATTGGTAACTACATGATCAAATCAGTTTTGCATAAAAAATGGATGGTATTATAGTTAATAGTTGACAAAAAAAACTAACACGATCAGATAGCTATCGATATCCAATCAACGTGATTTTTTACAAGCATATAATATTCGACGAGTTCTACACATTAAACGATTCTGATTAGCAAAACGGGACCTATAATGAGCCCCCAAGAGCTGAATAACACCATCCAATTCAAGCCCGAAGAGGAGGCAATCATTTCCCACCTCCTAACCAACTCACCACCCTACCCAACCTATACGCCTACTCCACTAACTTTTTCTACATACTTATTTATACAATTTTTTAATACATATTTTTTTGTAAAAAGTCAAAAAGTTAACCCAAACATCTATATTTTTTTCTCAACTTTTTAGTCAAAAAGTACACTTATTTAGAACACCCCAAATAATCCCTAATTTAAATTACTCCTAATACATTGGCCACTGGTCATGTTGTTGCCTCGTCGTCATATAATAAAGCTGTTTCTTTTCCGGGCAAAACATTGTGGTTTCATTTTGGACAATTGGATTGCCAAAAAAAAAAACTTGGGACAATTGGACGAAAGGGACCTAGAATAGAACGACTCACTCAATTCATGACAAGGCTTTGCAATTGCATCACCCAAGCTGTGCAATCACTCATTTGGTAAATTATTATGTGAGCATTCCCTCACAAATTAACCCTACACTATGATCAAATTTACCATTTAATATGTGCCGCTAGGTTACGACACTATGATTTTCCAACCATATTATATTGTAATTTGTAGCTTTTGATATTGTGTATTACGGACCAACCTTACTAGTTTTTGTAACATAAATAGAGCCAAATTACTTAGTTCAATTTGTGTTTGACTTTTTAAAATTTTATTTAAAGTTAATTTGTTAGGTAAATAAACTAAACTTGATTCAATAAGCTTTTCAAGTAGTTTGGTTCTACTCGACCTTAGCTTGATTAAAGTTTGTTTGTGATTAGTTTGAAAATAAACAAATCAAATTTAAATATATTTTAAAGTTTATTAAATTTATCAAATAAAATTGATATATCCTATTACTCACTTTACTCGGCTTAAATGGGCCCATTCATAACCCTAATTTCAAAAAAATGACAATACAAAACTAAAAAAATGTCATTTCACAATGACTTTTTTATTAACTTTTAAGCTTTTTAATTTTTTTGGAATATTAAAAAATTAAAAGATTTGAGTAATTGCTAAAAATAATGACCATTTTATGAGTAAAAAAAAATTAAGTGGGTTCTAAACTTTTCTTTAGCTGATAACAAATATGTTTTTGACTATTAAAAAAAAAAAAATCAAAAAATTGTTTTTTTGAGCTTTACCCCAAACAGGGTGTAAGGAGGAGTAGGACATACTTCATGGGAGGCGTTTTAAGTTGAACCTTGATGGTGTTTTATTTTTTATTTTAAAAAATGATTGAGACCCTCAATTTTAGACACTCACATGATCCTCAAAATAATCTAAACTACTCATGTATTTATTTATTTATTTATTTATTTTAATTTTTTTTTCTCTCTCTCTCTCACATGAGTGGTCCAGTTCATTTTAGAGGTTATAAAAATCTCCAAAATTAAGTCTCTCAATCATTCTTGTTTTATTGATTTGATAAATCTTGATGGTGTTTTTTTTATGCCTTAATGGTATAATAATTGTATTTGATTTATTATGAGATGATTGTAGCATTATTATTCCCCATGCCCAAAAGAACAAGACCAATTGGAGGCTGCCTTGCTGATCCTGAGATTGGTTTTTGATGAAGTGAGGGATCAAAAAGTGGATTGGAGACGGACATGTTTGGGCAATTCTTTTGAATCACCTCATTTATGAGTGGGACATTCGAGTGACATGATATTATGATTCAACATTAAAGACATCAACAAGACAAAACACAACATTGTTTCATTTCCTACAGCACTGTTTCAACTGCATGCATGACACATGAAACATGTGCTCCCAACCAAATCAGCTACTGGGCCCCCAAAGGTCACAATCACTTAACTCAGCTGTTTTCTACGCTAGGTTTCACTACTGTAAATTAATGCCCTGTTTAAATCATAAATTTAATTAAAGAAAAAATAAATAAATTTATATTAATATATATATTTTTTATTTTTTAAAAACAATTTGCACTCTAATCTATATCCAAACATAGCTTAAAAGTCACAGTTGGAGGCATGAGGTTCAACTTACAACCATATTAAAGATTGATTATAAATGAATCGAGTAAGTTATTTAAGTTTAACTCGATAACTTAATGTTTTAAACAAAACTTAGATTATTTATATAACAAGTCAATCTTGAACGAATTTTTAATTCAGACTTTGAGTAATTTGATTTTTTTGTATTGCATGTATTTTTATCAACTTCATTAATAAGTTAGCTAAGTTAATGTATCCAGCCTTTAAAAGCTCTTCCGTATCAGCATATCAAAGCCTAACGCAAAAGGAGCAAAAACATTGAATATATATATACTATATAATTCATCGCTTATCATAAAAACTCAAAAATCTTATTAACATCAAATATATATACATAAGTCGCAACCCATAATTTTTGCAAACATATTCTCATACAATAGTAGAACTAGTTCTGATTATGTAAACAATTATTAAGTTTTGAATAATATTTTGTGATCATATTGTAAATGATTACATCATTTATAAAACTATGGTTCCAAATCACATCAAACCAAACGGAACCAAACTAGGTTTTACTTATTTGATCTGATTTGTTTCAAAATTTTCATTATTTGGCTTGATTCCATATCTCATAAAACCATGAGTAATGACTTGGTCTTTGGTTTGGAAAATTTGATGATTTGGTTTGATTCCATATCTCATAAAACCATAAGTAATGATTTGGTCTTTGGTTTACCTCTAAACCATACCAATATGAAACATGCCAAAATTTAAAATAAAAATCGCCCTATATGTAGATATAAGGAACAAAAACTGAAATAAAAATTTAAAATAAAAATTCAATTATGTAATAAGGATTAATTTGGACATAAAAAATATGTGCCATAGTTTCGCCGGATGAGATGTATGCTTCATATCCTTGGGTCATGGTCAATTATAGAATGTGGAGTGAAATGTTATTTTGACCATTGAATCACTAGCAAGCCCATTCTTCCAACCTTTTAAATATATGAAATTTAACAAGACCATCTAGAAAGTTCTTCAAGACCTGTAAGTGTACCACTCTAAATATTGTTTTTTGCCCAACACCTCTTTTTTCCAATGCATGTTCTCACATGTTCCCTTTGTGTTGCTTAGCAATGTAGGCCTGATGATTTCTTGGCTTCCATTATTCTTTTCAATCTTCAAGCTTTTTTCTTTCTTTCTTTTTTTAACAATTGGTGGGAGGAGATAGGGGAAAGAAAATTCCATAGCATAGCAATGAGGACTTGAACCCCAATTTATTAATAACCCCATTTGCATGCATGGACCCTAATTTATTGATAGGACAATTAACACATGATACAATTAATATACAGAAGAGAGTTGTAACTTACACCGGTGATGTTGACAGTAGAAATTCTGGTTGTAATCTTTGTAGCAGTATCCCACAGAAGGGGCATAATGGTTTTGAAAGTAGTTCTAGCCTTGAAGATTCAGTAGAGATCTTGAAATCTGAAGGATAAGAGGGCATTCTGAATAGAGCCTGGGGTGCCATATTGGAAGTCCGTCTCTGACAACACAAGCAAAACCATGAAGTAGTAGTAGTAGGGCAGACCTGCATGGAAGCAGCACACCGGAACAGTTTGTGTCTCTGACTAACTCCATCGCTGCAATTCACACCTCGGCAGAAAGCATATTCTGTAGATTCAAATGGAACAGGTGCTGAACAATAGCTACATTGCTCTTCTGCTACAAATTGGTGTATGGAGTGGAGCCCGCTGTTGAAGAAAATACAGATTATAAGATCGTATTGAATAATAAGAAAATAATATGTGTGTCAGCAGGCAATATTCAATCATACAACAAAGCCTGGCACTTAGAAAGTGCCGTGTTCTATAAGCACCTAAAACATTCAAAAAAATAGTAGACCGTCATTACAACCATGTGTTCGACTCTGAAAGAACCATGCGTCTCACGGGAAAGGATTTCCTCTTCAAATTAGAAGAATATTACAAACACACTAAACTACGGAATGCTTCATGAAGCAGAAATTGGATACTGACAATACGGTAGGCAGCCTTGAGTTACTGCTATCAAAATTGTTATAAGGCTCTAAAAGTAGGTACACAACTACTTATCCAAAGGTTGCAAATTAGTCTTGAGTCAGAATACTTCTTGAGCTTCCAGACAACCTTGAAAGTATTTAATTCTACCAAAATAAATTTGTATAAAATGGTGAACTTTCAAAATAATGAAAAATGCTTAATTCACATAATATAAACAAACAAAAAACACTGAAATGCCTCTCCACAATTATAGCAGATATAACTCCTTGTTGATGGAGGGGCATTTAAGCAATCAGGCGATACAAGTTTAGTGGAATCCCTGAGCCCGAATGTAATGCAAACCGGACTTGGCTCTACAAGGGGCATACGTCAAAAGATGCAAACAAAATTCTTCAAATAGTGGGCACCAGATGAGAGTGGGGTAGACAAGAGAAAGAGAGGTGGCAGTGAGAAGGCCAGAGGATCATGAATTCCTCATGCTCAAGAGTGGCTCTCCTAGGTGCAAGGAAGATCAGCCCATGAGAGTGAGCCCCCTGATATTACACACTGCCCAATTTGGCTGAAGACAATGGATGATGAGACCTACGACAAAAAAAGAGTACTCAATCTGCCAACCTGCAGTCCTATGCTGTTGGGCCAACAGGATTGGCCCAGGCATGTCGTTAACAGATGATTCATCATAATGCAGATCATTATTAAGATTGGTATAGGGTGATTTTCACTTTCACTATCCATGGAGATGTCTGTTTTCAATATATAGTTCTATCAAAAGGACAGATCTGAAATCATCAGATTATACAGAAAACAGAACAACATCATTCCATTACACTGGACATCTAAATATTCAGCCATCAGACAGACTGACACATACAAAAAGATCCATAATGCAAATCAACAAAACAAACAAAGAAAATAAACAATAAGAAAAAACGGTGTGTTTTTTAAGGAGTACCTCTTCTTAAGCTTTCTGACTTCTGCTGCAAGGAGTTTCGGATGATCCCGTACATAATCATGATTAAGTGCAACCCATTGCTCCATTTGTGCTAACCCAACAGGATGCCAGTATCCAGTATCAAAATTTGTGGATGAGCGTGACATAATGCTTGAAACAGCAGAGAAACTAAAAGCCACGAGCCTTTCTCGGAGTTCTCTTTCACTGCTCAGAAGCAGCTCCAGCCACAAAGCAAGGTGTTCTTCTTCAGCACCACGTATTCCTTCAAAATTCTTCAAACAGCAGTTAATTTTGTCTGCCTCCAGCTCTGCCAGGACCACACGCCGACTTATAATGTTAAGGAGGTGCAACTGTCGGGAACTTTTTTTTGAGAATAATCTAGAAGAATGTAACAAGGTTTTTGCACGCCACTTAGCTAGTACATGCTCCACATACTTAGGTGCAGACTGCTTGAACGTCAATAATGCTTCTATGATATCCCAAACAACCAGAGGCTTCTCCACTTTGTGAGAGAAAAAGTGAAATGATTATGGGTTTGATGTGATATTTTGTTTTATTAGCTATTTTAGCCTATTTTATCTTTTTGTGAATTTTAGCCTAAATTAGGCTATTTTTTTTCTTCCCAAACACCCCCATGATGAGCGCGCATAATAAACCGAATAAAATTTATTATAAGCAAAAATAAACTTAAATTAAGCAACAAAAATAAATGAAAGAATGAGAAAATCAAACATAGTTTATTCTGTTCATTTTTTCTTCCATGATCAGGGCATTTTGCAATAATTGGTTGCTCAGAATGATAGAAGAATTGTAGCAGAGAAAGGTTGTGGAATAAAAGGCAGAGAAGAGAGAGAGAGAGAGAGAGAGAGAGGAGGGTAGAAGTTAAAATGTAGGGATTGAGAAGTGATAAGAGATAAAGAAGACGAGGAGTCCAAAAAGGGGAGGGCATTCATGGTTATGTAACTATCTCCATCAATTTACATATCTATTCCCAATTATTGGTTGGAAGAGAACTTGTCATGAGTGATAGTCTACTTTTTTATGACTCTTTTGAAAAAAATAAAAACTGCCAGCTTAAAAAATTGGGCTAACCCAAACAGGAAAGGGATTTTTCCTTTATGTAGTATTGTAGATGTATATGCGTGTAACTGCATAGATATGTCCCCATATGTGCTGTGCAAGTACTCATAGATGCACATACATAGTAAAACATTCTAGTGCAAAAAGAAATAAATTGGAAAAAAAAATTAAAAAAATCTAACCTTGCCTGGTACATTGGATTTAATAAATCAGCATCAAAACTACGAGCCTGCAAATATTAGCCAAGATATTGTTATCAGAGTCATCTCTCTTGAACTTCCATTTTGCAACCTTTATACATCAATCCAAGAAATATAACTCCTCAGAAAGATTTAAACTTGAAAAAGGAGAAACTGCAAGTTACAAAGGGTAATAAAATAAAAAAAACTAGAATGTTCAGATGAAAGAGTGGTAATGCAACAAAAAATTGAATTATAGGTGAAACAATTGTGGAAAAGATGCAACAAAGTATGCTGGGGTATGTTCTTCATGGAAAATGCGTTCGCCAGTGAGGAGAAAATATTTGATTCAAATGACAACAAGAAGAACCAGGCTAACTGAAAATATGGTCTTTGGTAAAGCTAAGCAGCAGAAAGGGTTGTGAAGCAATGAACTGCTGTAGTAAGGCTTTCTTACAATTGAGTTCTCTCTTTCCTGTAGTAAGGCTTCCTTACAATTGAGTTTTCTCTTTCCCATTTTTAGCTGTGACAGAAAAAACTCATACTTCTCTGTCCCTTTGAGAATGTCTAACTTTCCTAAACATCTAAAAGATAGCTACAAGGAACTTTGGGAAACTCAATGGTGCCAAGGTTTATGTCCTAGGATTTGAGGCATGATAAGGATTTAAGCACTTGCTTGTCAAGCTGATCAAAGTTTGTGGAAGAAGCAGAAAAAAAAGATAAACCTCAAAAGCCTATGCTTGCACTGGTTTGATGCTCAGATAAGAATATACCTTAATTTCTGTAAATCAGCACTAAAGCACCTAGAAGGAACAAGGACATATATAAAAATGAGATGAATGTTTTGAGAGGAATCGTGCTTTAATTAAGACATGACTTTGAGGCTAGAGCATTTAACAAATCTTTCCTTAAAATAACAGCAAATTTCAATACTAGGATCATCACGATGACCTTGAACAAGAATATGACAATCAAATCAAATGCCTAATTCCAAAAAAGTAAGAACAGAATGTGTAGCTTTCAATTCTCTGGCCCCATGAAAATCCAACTCCCATCATTTGCGGAGTGTTAAAACAACGACTAACTCAAATAGGCGAACAAATATTGGAAAGAAAGTATAACAAAATTTGTTGACCACCTCCTACAAAGCAGTATTCTCAGATACTAAAGAACAAAGTGTCGTATAATTTTCAAGGGAAGCCACTAGTTCAGTGGGTAAAACTTGGTTTATTAACTTTGAGGTTGTGGGTTCGAACCTGAGGGCAATCACTTTGTGCAAATTATGCCAAAGCTTAGGTCTGTAATCAATCTACCCCTCCCAAACCCCATCCAATAGGACTAACTGGGCGTACCTTTTTAATGCCATAAATCCAAGACTTAAATCTCTCTCTCCATTGCTGCAATTCTAAGCCAGAATCATGGACTTGGATTTTGCTTTTATTTTTTTCCTTTCAGAAAACAAATGCACATAAAATGGCCAAGGATGTCTACTTTCTCACTTCCTGACAATGTAGGTGGCAAATACAAGGGTTGGTTTGGGATGTTCTAAAAAAGTGCACTTTTTGACTTATTGGCTTATATGGATTGGGTTTGGGTTGGGTTTGATGTGATGTGTTAGAGAGGTGATGTGATTTAAATAAGATGATGTGACTTAAATAGGATAATGACTTTTTGACTTTTTGTATTATTTAGGTCATGCCAAACTTGGCCTTAATAGCATAAATAATTTCCAAAATTAGAGAACTTCAGGGAGGAAATATTATACCACAGCAACCACCAGATTTCCAGGGGATGTTGCTAAACCAAAGCATGAATCAAATACATTTGGAACCTGAAAAGAAATCTTCGCATTTGTTGAAACAGAAGAAAAATATTTGGATGTAAAATGAATAAGAAGGTCACATCATACATCACTGGAGCTCCTCGCACCAGGAGTATTCGAAGGAAAGGGCACTTCACATAGGACATGGTCACGTAAAATCCAGCTACGCACAGAATTGTCCTGTAATCATCCAAAAAAAAATTATTATTATTTTTTTAAATAGCCAGTGCATAATTTAATTGAGTAAATTTTCGAATTTGATTGCTGTGCAAATTTTGCGCGAAAACAGTTCGGTTTTGTACATTTTAAAAATAGTTCCCGATCTCAGAAAATTATGAAATTGTTACATGTTGTTCCTATATGAGTCTAGCATGTTGTATAAAAATTTAAGTATTAAATGATGAGTATTTATTTTATGAAAATTCACGGACTAATTGGTGTTCAGTTTAATTTATAGCAGAATTTGAAATTGAATTTTGGGTGTTTGGATCAGGATTTGAGATAAATTTGTTGGGTCTATTTTGGTATATAATTGAACCATGTTTGAGGCTTGATTGTTGTGTCTTGATGCAAGGAAGAAAGGTCGTGGCATATGGTTCATGACAATTGAAAACTCATGAGAAGAATTACCCCACCCATAATTTGGAATTAGCTGCAGTGATTTTTCACTCGTGCTTCCTAGATGAGAATAGACATGTTCTTCATTGAACACCTTCAAAATCTCACCATCTTTTATTTTATAATTTATTTTTGATAGGTCTGAACTAAAAGATAAAAGAAAAAAGGAAAAAAAAAAAAGAGGAATAAGAAGCCAAACACGAAACACGGGAGAGAGAATATCATTAACTTTTAAAAAGATTGAAAAGCTCATATATGAAACTCAAGCATGTAGCCATTAGATGATTAGAGATTTATGGTTACAATGTTAGTATGTCAATTTTAACAAAATGGACTAGTGATTTTTTCCCCCCTTCCTTTCTTTTCTTGTTTGTTTGTTAGAATATGATTCCAAATATCATTTTTAACAATTGACAACATTGTATGTCTTAACAATTGACAACATTGTATGTCTTACAAATTCTATGAGATATTCAAAACAAGTTGCAGCAATAAATTGTAGATATTTTGAAAACAAACCAGTAAAAAATTCAATTCACATACAAATTTTTTAAAGAAAAAAAATCTCATAAAATATAGTTAATTTACTTCATATTCCAACACCTATTCAACTAAACTTTGAAGAAACAATGATACCTGGCTACAGCTGTACAAACAACATCCATCAAAGGCCCACGCTAAACCTGTAACCTGATCAAATCTTACCCAAATAAGTCATCATCATTAGGCAAAAAGATTGATCAACAAGAAGAAACTTACAATATGATCATGTGCACCATATGAGCCAATTTTAGCAGATTTGCTGGTAGTGGTAGATATGTCACAAATCAACACATCAAAAGACCCGGATCCTTTGCCAACAGCTAAATGCATTTTCTGTGGGGACTGTATGGGCACAATAAGAGAAACCACGGAGACTGGGACCGAATCAACAGTTACAACCTATTTAAAAGTAGAAATAGCAAAATGAAAAAAAAAAAAAATTAATTCCCTTATACTATGAGATATGAACAAATGAGATACTAATTTATATAAAATACTGACCTCCTTCAACAGAGAAAAGGGAGTATGATTAACTTTGGAAGACTTCAGCAATTCCCCACTATATCCCAGCCAGATCTTCACACTGGGAAGAACAAAAAAAGAAGAAACAAACTAAGCATTTTTGGTTTAAAAAAAAAACTAAGCATGTTGAAAATTAATCTCCTAATCTAATGGGTTTTGAAAACTTTCTTTGACCACAAGAGCAAGATAAGCAGCTTCATTACTACAGACATTGAAAAGATAAGCAATTACATCTGGATTATTATTCCAGCTGAAGCAACATTCTTCAACCCATCAATAACATTTTTATTTTCAAAATAAACATAAATGTAATGCAGCTGTGATCTTATATATGATACCCCACCAGATTCACCTTGGTCAAACACCTTAAAAATAGATAGCCATACCATTTCCCTCTGATTAAAAAAAAAACACTATGGTAGTGTTTGGTAGAGTTTTGTAAATGTGATTTGAGAGTATGAGTTGTATTTTGAGTTTGTGTGTTGTGGAATTATGATTTGAGTGTAGAAAATTTGTTTGGTAAAGAGTTTTGAAAAGAGTTTTGATTTGAGTGGGGAATTGTTGATGTGACATTTGATATGTGATACAAAAATTTACAACTCATAACTAAATATACAACTCAAAATTATTTTAAAGCACATAAAAAATTTTAAAAATTTCAGAAAATATTTTTTTCAATTATATAAATCAATTGCAAAAAAAAAAAAAAAATCACTATTCCGGTCAACCGGCCGAACGTCCCGCCAAGCAAAATTTTCAAAAAAAAAAAAGGGAAAACGCGTCTGTCAAAACAGAAAACGCAGGTGTTCTGTGCAGAGTTTTGAAAACATCATTTGAGAACGCTTACCAAACACCATACTTGAATTAAGGTGTGGAATTGTGATTTGAATTCACAACCAAACAGAGCCTATATTCTTCAAGAAGAATAACAGATTTGCCAAATCATTTTCACGAAGCAAAAAACCAATGGACAAATAGAAAATTAATTAACATATAGACGCTGGTCAAACAACTTAAACAACAGAATTCCACGTCGTTTTCCTCTGGTTTAAAAATAAAAATAAAAAATCACAAAGAATAACAAATCCACCAAATCAGTTTCTCAAGGAAAGAAGCTAAAGAACAACATTAAAGATCAATAATAGACTTCAGTAGACTTGTAACTAAATCAAAGAAAGATTAGAAAAATATACCTCTGATCTTTTGGTCACCAACCCACCCACACAACCCTTCTCCAAAAAGATATCTAAAAATACCAGTGAGATTTCTAAATTTACAGGCCATAATTTGTCAAAAAGAAACTAAACATTATGATACAAATGTGAATCGAACAAATCTCACTCTGAAGAATACAGGTCCTTCAAAGGAGCCAGACTACCAGCTAGCTTAGCTGGAAAAAATCACTTGGTAATCATACTGGAGACCTTTGATCAAAGCCTACTTTCATATGGATTTGCGGGTTTTATGGCAGAGGAGCACCCCCTCATTGCCATTAGGCCCAAAAAATATCAAGAAAAAAGATAATAATAATAAAGAGTGCAGGTTCCACATTTAGGAACAGAAAGAAGTCCTAAATGAAGAAGACCTGTTTGTAAGATGTTAAAATTTCATGTTTCTTAAGATCATATCCAGAACCAGAACAAAAAATCCTAAAGTTACATACTGTACCCAAAAAGATATCTAAAACTGAATTAATTAACCAAGTAAAAGAAAGGCAAGCTTTTCTTAGAAGACTATGTACATAAATAGTGTTAATTACATCCAGATCAACCATACAACATAATGAATTTGTAAACACGTTGCTAGAGGATCCAGGGGAGCATCTCCGATGCCCATCAATAAATGATTTTTTAATAGAAGAGAAAAACAGTTAAAACCACTGACCATAATGCATCGGTAGACCAAACTCACCTCCCATCAGAACTCCCAGTAGCCAGTAAGAGCTGAGGATCTGAGGCATTAGAAGCAAACAAGGCCCAACCAATGGCAGTGATCCAAGCACCATGTGCCTGGAGAAGTCCAACAAGAAATGCAGCAGTTGAATCCTTGTTGCTCATAACAGAGAAGCATTGCGGTTCAAGGATTCTCCAAAATGAAATTTTACCAGACTTCCCTCCAACTGCAAGTATAGAACAGTGATCGGATGAATAATCTGCAGAAACTGACCCAGTTTCAGGCATCCAGTGCATAACTGGTGACCAAGCAACAACAAGTGATGATAGCATTGCACTGCGAGAGGCATATTGATCTGCAGTTATTTGTTGGAGACTGGATCTTTCTGGTATTTTCTTTAGAGGTTTTGCTTTCAAATTAGGCACAGAAACAATTTGACTCAGATTATTTGCTTTCTTATTGTTAGATTTGATCCCAACTACCTGAAGGAAGGTAACAAAAATCAGAAAAATGCAGAATGGAACAAAAGTATATTAATAAGCCAAAGAAAGCATATTATTAACCTTGTGAAAATATCAGGAACCCTTTGGATATATGTGGATTTGAAATCAGATTTGACCTTAATCATTAAAGGACAACAACTTAAATTTAGATATGATTGTATACTTATGAATTTCAAGATTGAGTTCAATAGCTTTATCATGATGGATTTGAAATAACTATAAAATTAGTTATTTGAAATAATGCTAAGAATTCTCTTTCTAGCTACAAGGATCCTATGATTGCTTACTTATGAATTTCAAGATTGAGTTAAATAGCTTTATCATGATGGATTTGAAATAACTATAAAATTAGTTATTTGAAATAATGCTAAGAATTCTCTTAACTTATCTTCTTCCATTGTTTTTCTATCTATTTAACCTCAAATCCCTTGATTTTATTTATTTTTTGTGTGACAATTACAGGAATTGAAATCCACATCTATCCAAATGGACCCTTAAAAGAAGGGTGCTAAATCAATACAAAACAAAGGAAAAGATAAACAATCTTGATAAAAAGCGGTACCTTACGCAACTCCTGATCGTTCATTTCAATCTTGACTAGAGTAACTTGCCATGACTTTTGCTCATTAATCCATAATGGTGCCAATCTAACTGAGCTAGCATCTAATGTGACTGATCCAGTATCCCCTGTCATTCAGAATATGTGATGAAACACATGAAGCAAATCATGAATCCGCTGGGACATTATATGATGCATGATAAGTACATCAGGATTTGCATTCAAGTGCTAAGGATAAATTATATGAGCACAAATGTTTCATCTTCTTGTTTGCCTACCAGATCAAAACAGAGAAAGAGAGGAACCATTGCATATGCCTAAGAACCAGTCTGGGTCATACTTGATACATACTGCGATATTGTTATGTGCTTTCATAAAAAAAATATCTAAGCCTTTATGTGCTTTCAGTATTGTTATGGTTTACAAGGGCACCAGCTTGAACAACTGCCCATGGCTGAGAGTTAAAAGTGTCTTTATTTGCATATAATTACATTAAATATATATTCCATATTGGATTTACATCTGAAGATCAATGAAGAATACAATACTAAAGTAAATGATAACTTCACGTTAGAAAAAAGAAGGCATAAGCTTATTGATATCTGTAAAATAGAGTAAGTAGAGAAGCATTCTTCAATATGTTTCAAAAGTGCCAAGTTGTCAACACAGTTGGGCATGGGTACACCATGCAAAAAATGTCCAACATGATGATTACTTCAGGGTATGTTGTACTACATATCATAGATTGTAGCCAATATTTCCATTGGGCTTCCCTTTACACTTCATTTCATGGAACCAATCAAGTAGATTCTCCTAAATAGAAACAATATTCTTCTCAGCAGGTTTTCCACTGAAAAAGCTTACTTCATAGTTCATGGCAAGAACAAGATCTCTTGAGCAATCATTTTTCCTAACAAAGGCACACGACACACCTAGATAGGGGTGTGGATTATGGACACGCTAATTCTTTAAGTTACAAACTTGAGGTTCTGTAAAATTTAATCAAGAGACACAATACATCATATATTACTCATTCAAAGGGCCATAAAGGTGAGAGCGCACCATGAAGTTTCACCAGAAGACCACTTTCATTTAAACCCATAAATATGGCTTCAACCCACCTGCAGAGTCATATCAAAAGCTTGTATATAAGTGACATAAACACCAAAATAAACGTAAAAGATAGAATTGAAAGCTTGTTTCCAATAATAACTGCAATTTTAATGACTTGGAAGTTGATAAAAATAGAAACCAAATGCATTAATATAAAGGAAACAAGCATGTTCATGATCATGCTTAGAATATTAATTTTGAGACCACACTCAGAATTTGCAGAAGATTCATCACCATTTCACATTCACATAGATTTGCTCACAGTAAACTCTTTAACTCACCAGATCCACTTCCTAGAATATGTTTTTAAAACAAGAAAATATGGGGGCAATGTAATCGCTTCCACACCCCTCGCTATCTCTGATTCTAAATTATCCAATTGTAATCCTCACAATACATTTGGAGAGCCAGTTTCCTTAGGGTGATTTGGCAAAAGTTGAACTTTATTAACTCTGAATGACTATTTGAAAATGTTTTTTTTTTCCTTCTTTTCTTTTCTATCAGCATTGAAAGGATATCAAACAAGAGCGCTTCAGAGAAGGAATTCCGAGCACAAGAAAAGCATAGTTTCCATTAATACTGTCGTGCAGATAAATTACCAGCATGCAACATATTATAAGAATACCTAGATGCCATGCAAGAAAACTTTTGTTCCATGATGGTTCAGTGAGTCAATGAACTAAATCAAATGCTATTGCTATATTCTATATATCCACATCTAAGTTGTGAGAGATTCACACTGCTCTATCATGATGATTTAAAAGTACCTATCATTTGTCCAGGTTTCCACCACGTCTCCAATTTTGAGAATTTCCTCTCCTCCGTGACAGTTACACAATAATATCTGCTGTGGGAGATTGCCCACAATCATTGAAGGCCGAATTTTGGGAATACACTTCTCCTGACCACCCACACTATTATTAAGGAGACTTGGACCACTGGTGTCGTCATATTGTGGATTCATTTCAACCCATTCATCTCGTGTCACTAATAATTAATTGGAAAGAAAATTAGTGCTAAGATAAAACATTTAGGTTGCTAAAAAACAGAGAGAGAGAGAGAGAGATACCATTTCCATCTGTTTCTGGGAACACAACAAGAGCTTTTGCTCCACTCAAGCGATCCAGCATGCCTGCTATCCAAATGCGTCGGTGCCCATCCAATTTAAGAACCTATATAAATCCAGACCCAGAAAACACTTTAGCAGTGGAGAGAAGTATACAAAGATTATATAGTTCCAGAGCCAAGATAACAGAACAAACCTCTACAGATGAACCCTCTTGCAAAAGTGAGCATGGGAAGAGTGCTACTTCCTTCGAGGCAGTGATCAACTTTCCAGTATGTCGGGTAGAGATAGTATAAACATCTTCATTGTTTCTAGAAGATAAATTTTGGTCTCTCAAATTTCCAGATTCCTTATCTCTGCAATATGTTCAGCAAGAAAAATGATAAGGTTAGGAGCTAAAACGTCCTGGAAAAGAGCATGTCAGAAAACAAAACATTCAAATTAGATTCTAGCATTGTATGTTTATGTGATTTTGCTTAATTGAGAACCACAAAAGTGAGCTGCATAATCAAACAAAGCCTGCAAAAGTTGATAAAGTACAGTATGAACCATTAATAAGCATTAATACAAACAACAACAAAACAGTGTACATTACTGCTAATGCATTCTGTCTTCTTCGCTTGTGTTCCCTCCTTAAAACAGAGGTTGGCAGATTGTCAATACATCCATGCTCTAAGCTGAGTTGATTTGCTTGCTCCTAGTACAGGAAGACCCAAAAATTATCACATGAAAAGTTAGGACGGACTTGTATGAAATGTAATTTGAAAAATCTGACAACAGGCATAATGCAGCATGAAGTAGCAAAACAACCCAAACTACAAAGAAATTGATAGATGAAATAACTTACATCAGAGAATTCTGAATCTGAATTATGAATATCTGACTCTCCAAAGTTGATACTTGCAAAATAATTATACAACATTTCTGATATATCCAAAACCTATCAAACATAGAACATGACCTGACTTTAATGTAGTCAATATACAAATATGCCGGGAACCTTACACACTAAAAACTTTTTCTCACTTGTTCCAGAATGGACTATGTAAGGTAGACTACAAATTATCTCGATATATAGTTCAACTATTAAAAGGTAAGTTAAACAACCAACAGGCATAATGCAGCATGAAGTAGCAAAACAACCCAAACTACAAAGAAATTGATAGATGAAATAACTTACATCAGAGAATTCTGAATCTGAATTATGAATATCTGACTCTCCAAAGTTGATACTTGCAAAATAATTATACAACATTTCTGATATATCCAAAACCTATCAAACATAGAACATGACCTGACTTTAATGTAGTCAATATACAAATATGCCGGGAACCTTACACACTAAAAACTTTTTCTCACTTGTTCCAGAATGGACTATGTAAGGCAGACTACAAATTATCTCAATATATAGTTCAACTATTAAAAGATAAGCTAAACAACGAATAAAAATTATATATAATTAACAGAATACCCAATGAAAATGAGTTAGGCCGCATTTGAGAAACGGCCAGTTTAGCCAAAAAATCAAAAAGTTACTAAAAAAACCAAAAAGCCAACAACCCATACCAAAAAATCAAAGATTCTCTTGTCTCTCTACTTTTTGCACATATTTTCGTAAAAAGCCAAAAAGTCATCCCAAACATACTAGTTTTTTTTAGCTCAAATTTTAGCCAAATAGCCAAAAGAATAAAATAAAAAGAATAAAGAAATTGATCAAACAAAATAAATATAAAATCGATTTTTAATGCATAACACTCGTAAGAGAACCAATGTTGACTTCATCAAACACTTAATCAAACCATGTGGCTGTTAGCTTGATTAAGTGCAGCTTGGTGCATACCTCTACCCACTCTGCAGAAAACTCGCAATATGGCATGCGGTAAAGCTTCACACAACCTTCTGTGGTGCAAACAGAAAGCAAGCACCTGCTCCAAGTCAAATAACACAAATCGCATTAAAACCATAGATATTTAGGGATATCAAGATCATGTGAAGTGCATTATAGAAATGGGTGAATGTATTGACATATCAAGTTCAGTAATAAAAGAAGATGAAGTTCATACCCTGAGTTTGGAGCAAATCCAATAGGGGACCAGGAAATTGATCGAACACAAGGACGAGGGTCGCGTGATAAACAAGTGGGCAACAAGCAGCCAGAGAGTAAATCTGCAAACATACTAAACAAATATACATGTAAAAGAAATGTCAAAACCCAAATAGCAATGCTGTGTTTGGTTTATGGCTTTGGCAATGGAAAGGAACAAGAAAATCCAAAGGAAACCATTGTTTCTTGTGTGGTTACCTATGATGCACGGACACGGACACGATACGGACACGGAGATACACAAATTTTCAAAAAATAGGGGACACGACACGCTGGGGACACGTTCAGTATATATAATTTTATTTTTTTATTATATGTAAAATTAAAAAATATAAATATTATCCATAGTCTACTTTGGATACATATCCCAATATCCTAATATTCAAGTTTATAAAGGTCTGACACTTGAACACGCACCTGCACTCATACTTGATACTCATATCTAAGTCCATGTAACATACATACCCGATACTCATATCTAAGTCCATGTACCATAGGCCAATCACACCGTTGTCCATCTGAACTAATTGAGGGGAGGGAAGGTTAACCGTTTCCTTCTCCTTATTGCTTGGAACTTCAGTGCACTCACTTCGAGTGATCTGACTATCTTCTCCTCACTGCCGCCACACTTGCTGAAGCTTACTAGGTTGATGTGGAGAACAAGAATTATCAATTTGACCAAAAAGCTACTTGATATTTAATCGGCAAAGCAAATATTTACTATCATAGACATGCTCTATTTATATAGCAAAACATCTATAATCACTGATCAATGATCTATGGCCATGTTTGTGTTTCTGTTCTAATCGAAGTAGATTAGGGCTGATCTATTTTTACTTATTTACAAATCGACCCCAATTTTTTTTGTAAATTGTGAAATTACCCCCGACGTGTCCCGAAAGTGTCTATAACGTGTCCGAAACATGTCCGGATGTGAAAAAATTAAAAAAAAAAAGGGACACTCTCTGCTGCGTGTCGGACACGTGTCCAACGCGTGGCCGTGTCCAACACCTATCCGACACTAGTACGGAACCCTCAGAGAGGTGTCCGTACTTCATAGGTGGTTACCATTGAAAGTACTAGATATAATTTTTCCTTCTCTTTTTCAAGATTTTTATTATTTTGTAAAATTATTCAAGAATAAAAACAGTAATTCTGTTTTCCAAGCTGTAAAGCTGAGTAAAACAATCTCTCTTTTTTTTTTGATCGGCAGGTAAAGCTAAGTAAAACAACTTGAAGTGGTTTATCTGTCAGTTTACATTTTACATGCAGATCTAACCCAAAGTTATTGCAATGTCCTAGATGTGGTGCAGTATTGAAGATATGTCAATGAAGCACAACTGAAGCTGCTTGATTGTTTTTTTTGTTTTTGTTTTTATTTGTGTGTGTGTGGTAAGTAAGCGAGATCTTATTACCCAAAAAGAAAGCTTGAGACAACCCGTAAACAGAATCAAGCAAACACAAAGGGAAGCAAAAAGATAACAACACCAACAGGGACAAAACAAAAACCTGGGCTAAAACGAAATATACACTCACAAACCAAGTGCCAAGGATACAAGGAGCAATATATGAAACCACCTCTCACAACCCAAGCGATTAGATCAAAGAAGAGCTACCACCACCTTGACCTGGATTTGATGATTTGAGGTGGATTTGAGGATTTGGGCAGTGACTCCTTCAATTTTGTCGATAGATTTACATCTTTCTCTTAAGGACTTGATCTCATATAATTCCCTTTTGTGTTCTTCTCTATGCGGAGTAGTTCCCCTTTTTTTTTGAGGGCTTCTTCTTTTGGTCCATCTTCACTCTCTATCAAAACTAGACAGGAATCAAGGATGCCAAGCACTATCTTACATGGACCCTTTTATTTCCCCCAAAATACCTGTGTCCACTAGATATGACAAAGATAAGGGCGTGGAAATATGTGTCCAACACCCATACATAATTTATACACTTGATCCTCCAATGTTTTACGATGTTTGAAGAACAAGAAATTCATATTTGTTACACGAGATCCATAATGAGTTCACATATCCATATCCTGCTTTGGATACATATCCCAATATCCTAATATTCAAGTTTATAAAGGTCTGACACTTGAACACGCACCTGCACTCATACTTGATACTCATATCTAAGTCCATGTACCATAGGCCAATCACACCGTTGTCCATCTGAACTAATTGAGGGGAGGGAAGGTTAACCGTTTCCTTCTCCTTATTGCTTGGAACTTCAGTGCACTCACTTCGAGTGATCTGACTATCTTCTCCTCACTGCCGCCACACTTGCTGAAGCTTACTAGGTTGATGTGGAGAACAAGAATTATCAATTTGACCAAAAAGCTACTTGATATTTAATCGGCAAAGCAAATATTTACTATCATAGACATGCTCTATTTATATAGCAAAACATCTATAATCACTGATCAATGATCTATGGCCATGTTTGATTGGGGGCTTGGGGAGGGGGCTTGGATGAACAATCCGTGAGACCCACCTAACTCATGTTTGTTTGCAACAAAATGGTATGGGATTGGCAATTCCATGAGATGAGAGTACGAATCCCCCTCAATGGTGGATTAGCATTCCATGGGAGGGTTGGGATTACTAATCCCTTCACATGGATTGATGGTTAAAAAATCATTTTGTCATCCACCTTACAAAACCAGCTAAGTTATATTGTATGTGATAAAGGATTTTTTGGTAAGTTTAAAAATGTAATCCCAACTAACTAATACACCACAGAGCTACACAGACAAGCATATTTTATCTTATATCTCCAACCTAATACCACTAGTAATCTCATCACTCAATGCTACTGAGCTGTTTGTTGCAGCTTCTATGAGCTGATTATAACTTATTTAATTTGGGAGTTTGCGTGCAATTTTTACTTATAACTTACTAGACAGAAATAACTGAAAAAAAAGCTTAAAAAAAAAAAAGAAGCTGATTATTGATTATTTTAAGAGGGGTGATTTTAATTTCGGCTATCTAATTATTAACTTTTAGCTTTAAAAAAAAATCTATCCCACTATAGTCATAATCCCGCCCAACATAATTGGCCAAACAAACATGGTCAATAACTTAGTTAAGAATGAATGCATTGAGAAAAGAAATTGTACCTTTTCTTTCAATGGCGCCAATTGGAAAAGGTTTGGTGGGTGAGATTGTAACGAGGCCTCGAGGTCCAAAAGGCGTGGCGGGATTCTACAGTTAGAGAAAAATACCAAACAATGGTGTGAATAGAAGAAAAATAAAAATTGCAACAGAGAGAGAGAGAGAGAGAGAGAGAGAGAGAAGCAGCGTAATTAGGTTAAAATAATACCAGGATGGTAACGAGATGACCAGAAGCAACAGCAACCAAGTTCTCGTCGGACCAAGCGACGGCATTGGGACAAGATGGTGAAGCCACAAGCGGAGCAGCCTGGAAACGCCACGACGAAGCCATTGCTGCAGACCTCTTTCTTTCCTTCCCCAAAACCCAAACCCAGTATTATTATTATTATATATATATATATATGGAATTCAGAGGTAGTAATTACGATGGTTGTACTTGTTGTGTTGGAACTGATGATACTGAAAACATACAATAAAGCTAGCCCTAGATTCGACTCTCCTCAACAAAAAGCTAGTTTACTTCAGCCAATAAAATTGTGAAAAAGTTTAATTGAAAAATTAAAAACAGTTTTTGAAATTTTTTTTTTTTTTTGAACTTTTTTATTAGTAGCTTATTTTCATATTTTTAATGATTTTTTTTTAATTTAAAGTATTTTAGGTTCTAAAATTCTAAAACTAAAAAATTAAAAAGTATATTACAAATACATTTTCTAAAATTTGTTTAAAATATGAATTGCTCCCCGTAGTTTAAAAAATTATAAATACCTCCTTATTCATAATTTTTTATTTAACAGAATTAATTGAAAAAATGAAATTTCTACCTGTTCATCTATATAATAATAAAATTATCTGAATTATTAATTGAAATATAATTTTAATATTGTTAAAAACTGTTAATTAACTTGATGATTTATTAATAAAATGATCTATTTATTATGAAATTAGAAACTTTAAGAGACATAATGTAATTTCTAAAACTATAAAAAATAATTTATAATTTAAGTAAACCTCA